GCTGGGGGGCCCACTGCGACGTTGCTGGCGGCTGGGGCTGGGGGCGGCTGGTCGGGCGCGGCGGCCGGGGCTGGCGATGGCGCTGCGGAGACGCCGGGGCCCAGGGCTGGGGTAGGCTGGTGGGGAGTGGCGGCTGGGGATGGCGCTGCGGAGACGGTGGGGCCCAGGACTGGGGTAGGCTGGTTGGGAGTGGCGGCTGGGGATGGCGCTGCGGAGACGCCGGGGCCCAGGACTGAGGGAGGCTGGTCGGGCGCGGCGGCTGGGGCTGGCGCTGCAGAGATGCTGGGGCCCGGGACTGAGGGTGGCTGGTTGGGCGCGGCGGCCGGGGCTGGCGCTGCGGAGACGCTGGGGCCCGGGACTGAGGGTGGCTGGTTGGGCGCGGCGGCCGGGGCTGGCGCTGCGGAGACGCTGGGGCCCGGGACTGAGGGTGGCTGGTTGGGCGCGGCGGCCGGGGCTGGCGCTGCGGAGACGCTGGGGCCCGGGACTGAGGGTGGCTGGTTGGGCGCGGCGGCCGGGGCTGGCGCTGCGGAGACGCTGGGGCCCGGGACTGAGGGTGGCTGGTTGGGCGCGGCGGCCGGGGCTGGCGCTGCGGAGACGCTGGGGCCCGGGACTGAGGGTGGCTGGTTGGGCGCGGCGGCCGGGGCTGGCGCTGCGGAGACGCTGGGGCCCGGGACTGAGGGTGGCTGGTTGGGCGCGGCGGCCGGGGCTGGCGCTGCGGAGACGCTGGGGCCCGGGACTGAGGGTGGCTGGTTGGGCGCGGCGGCCGGGGCTGGCGCTGCGGAGACGCTGGGGCCCGGGACTGAGGGTGGCTGGTTGGGCGCGGCGGCCGGGGCTGGCGCTGCGGAGACGCTGGGGCCCGGGACTGAGGGTGGCTGGTTGGGCGCGGCGGCCGGGGCTGGCGCTGCGGAGACGCTGGGGCCCGGGACTGAGGGTGGCTGGTTGGGCGCGGCGGCCGGGGCTGGCGCTGCGGAGACGCTGGGGCCCGGGACTGAGGGTGGCTGGTTGGGCGCGGCGGCCGGGGCTGGCGCTGCGGAGACGCTGGGGCCCGGGACTGAGGGTGGCTGGTTGGGCGCGGCGGCCGGGGCTGGCGCTGCGGAGACGCTGGGGCCCGGGACTGAGGGTGGCTGGTTGGGCGCGGCGGCCGGGGCTGGCGCTGCGGAGACGCTGGGGCCCGGGACTGAGGGTGGCTGGTTGGGCGCGGCGGCCGGGGCTGGCGCTGCGGAGACGCTGGGGCCCGGGACTGAGGGTGGCTGGTTGGGCGCGGCGGCCGGGGCTGGCGCTGCGGAGACGCTGGGGCCCGGGACTGAGGGTGGCTGGTTGGGCGCGGCGGCCGGGGCTGGCGCTGCGGAGACGCTGGGGCCCGGGACTGAGGGTGGCTGGTTGGGCGCGGCGGCCGGGGCTGGCGCTGCGGAGACGCTGGGGCCCGGGACTGAGGGTGGCTGGTTGGGCGCGGCGGCCGGGGCTGGCGCTGCGGAGACGCTGGGGCCCGGGACTGAGGGTGGCTGGTTGGGCGCGGCGGCCGGGGCTGGCGCTGCGGAGACGCTGGGGCCCGGGACTGAGGGTGGCTGGTTGGGCGCGGCGGCCGGGGCTGGCGCTGCGGAGACGCTGGGGCCCGGGACTGGGGTAGGCTGGTCGGGCGCGGCGGCCAGGGCTGGGGTGGGCGCTGCATCGCTGCCGGTGGCTGGGGCTGGGGGCGTCTGGTCGGGCGCGGCGTCTGGGGCGGGCGCCGCACCTGTGGAGACGCCGGGGCCCAGGGCCGGGGGCTGCAGACCGGACGCGATGTCTAAGACGGGCTCAGCAGCTGCGCTGGCGCCAATCGCTGGGGTCGAGGTTGCCTGATCGGGAGCGGCGACCGGGTCCTCTGTCGGCGCCAGAGGGTTTGCGAAGCTGACGGACAGCACTGCGCGGGCACAGTGGGACGACCAGTTCCCCTTGGTCCCCAGCTCCAGCTTGGCGTTCTGTCGGAGGTGACGGAGGAGCTCCCTCTTGTAGTACGTAGAGGTGGCTGTCGCTAGGTCCCCCGCCGCTTCTTCGATGAGCGGGCGGATGTACTCCAGGTCGCGCGGCTGAAGGGTGACGCCAGCCCGCTCGAGCGTCTCCCGGAAGAGGGCGACGGACTCGGCCAGTGGCGCGAACGCTGCCTTTGCATTGGTGCCCGCATTTCCGCCGGCTGCCTCGCGAGGTCGCCAAATGAGCATCAGGCATCTGCGCCGTGGTTGTAATGGGTGGGTGGGTCGAAAGGGTGGCTGGTTATTCGGCACCTGCTCTGCGGCGCATGCCGCTGCACCCCATCTGTGGCAACGTGTTCCAGACAGCTGTAAGCATTCCCGATCCAACCAGCACACACCACATGCAGACATGGGACCCTATCAAGCAAGGAAACCAGGCATCTGTCTGCCTACAAGATAAACCCACCCACATCCCACCCCCAACACACAGGAGACCCACCTGGCGAAAAATATCTGGTCGAATGGTTGCAGTGCCGCATCCGCGTCTGCCTGGCCAGCCTGCTTCCGCCGCTCAAACTCCTCCACCATGCGGATGGCGTGGAAGTTGGCGAAGAGGTCGCCGACGGTGCGCGACTCGGTGACGACGGCCACGACGTCGTTCACAGTCGGTCGAAGCGCATCCAACACGCACTGCTGCTGCTGCGCCTTCTTCTTCATCTCCTTCTTCATCGTCTCCTTCTTTGTCTTCTTCTTCGGAAGATCCCGGAAGCCGTTCCAGGTCGTCTTGACAGAGGTTGTTGCGTAGTCACCGAGCACCTACAGTTTGTGATAGCGCGGGCACACGGTGTCACTATGTGTGTCTGGGTGTCTCGATCAGTAGAGCCACGCATGCTTGGGGACACTACAGTGGCCCCCGGAGCCCCTTCTCCAAAGTGGCACACCAAGTCCTCACACACCTTCCCGTATCGGCCTTTCGTGCCCGCCTCGCCGGGCGCTGTCCGCCATTCATTCACCGTGGCGTCATTCTGCCACTGTTGTTCCCTCTTCTCCGCGTCGTCCAGCTTGTTGACCACGTCGAGTTGCACAGGGGGCGTCTGAGAGTCCTACGACACAGGGCGAGAAAACACGGGGTGGGATGTGTGTATTCGCCTATGAGTTGCAGATACCAACTTTAAGAATCACATCCTCACTCCGCCACAGCCATGCCTGTCGCACACCAATCAAATAAACCAACTCAGTCCACCCAACACAATCACCTGGCCCGCGGATGCAAGAGGTCTCGAAGTCGAGGGGGCATCATCCGCCGCCACGACATCCACGTCCATTGGGCAGAGGGTCTGTTGCGTGCCTTGGCCTGGATGCGCTGGCTCGCCGTTGTCACTGGGGTGGGGAAGTTTGGTGTGAGGGTGAGCAAGGTCCCATGGCCTGCATTGTCTCCCCTACAGCTTCAAGCCCATGCACATACCCAACTGCATGCATGCATGCCCGTCGACTCGACGACGCGCACCCCACGATCACAGCCATACCAAGGCTCCTCACCAGCCCCCAAAAGCGACATCCCCACACCTCAGAGGGGGGGCAGAGGCGGCCAGTGCCAGCCAATTTTGATGTATGCGGTGTTGGCGCTCCCCGGGCCGTGATTCCCTTCCCGCACAGCGCATCAGGCAGTCGCGGCGCCGGATCGCAGCCTCGGCCGTGGGCACCCAGTCCCGAGGCTGCAGCCGGTTGCCCAGCTTGGGCAGCTGTCTCGGCCTGGCCCCAGGCACCCTGTTGAAGGAGTGGATGCAAGGACAGTCTGCGGCTAGACCTCCATACCACAGCACAGGGGGGGTGGCTGATGGTGATAGCTGCGCGAGACACATCTGTACTGATGTCGACGCAACCCGGTCTACCCACTTCCATCCCATCCCAACTGCAAGATAAAAGTATCACACTCATGGCTGGCTGAGGCCGTCGCCCATGTCAGCCGGGGCACGAGGGTCGCTGTCGACTGGTGACCTAGGAGTCAAATGGGCCGGCCACCCCTGCCGAATGGAGTAAGAAGGGGTGTGGATGGTCTTCAACGAAAGAAAAATCCGGAAAATGCTCTCAACACGACGGGTAGCGCAAACCCTGAAGATGTCGACGCGGCCGGATCCCGTCCACCGAATTCCAGGGCAGCCCAACTCCGCGGTAGTCCTATATTACGACTTCCCAGCGTTCTCCGGGACTCACCGAGGCATTACAGTCGGATGGCATTGCGTCGAAGTGGGTTGTTGTGCGAGGGCGAGGCACTACGACGGTGTAGACGCGGGGCGTCGGTGTACCAGGGGTCGCCCTGGGGCCGAGAGAGGTAGCGATCACAGGGGCACTCTGCCCTTCGGTCTCAACGTACAAACGTCTTCACTCTGTCAATATGCAACGCAACCTACAGACTGTCGAGAGTAAGGCCGTTACAACGCAGGTCGGTGGGTATTTATCGCCAGGGGAGCAGGCGTCCTTCGGTCCAAGCTTGGCACGCGAGCAGGTCACATCACATGGAGAATGGTGCTGTGGGAAGGCAAGCAAGATATCCAAGACATAGGGTTGGAGTGGACTATGGAGCGATGGCATATCGTGGAGGGGTGGACCGAGGACAGCTCGTGCGCGCCTTATGTGATCCAGCATGAAACTTTCGATACCGCGGGTTTAAGCTCGAAATTCTCCGGAATCTCACGATATCGAACATTATATCAACCATTTCCCGAAAATTTGCCCGATGGGTAAGACTGAGCATTGAACATCAGCCCGCGCTGTGTATGTACACATTTCTTGGGTCCGTCTGCTATAAGCGCTGTGCTTCTCTGCATTCGCACTGGCGCCGCGACAAGGCCCATGACCCGGTGGATGGGGGATGTGTCGAGCAGGCTTGTTGACGAGCGGAAGATGGAAATCTTGCAGCTTCCGCTCTCGCAGCACTTCACCAACGCCCGCCTGGAGCAGGCATACCGGCAGTACATCGGCACCATCCAGCTCGGCAACGATGTGGCGATGACGCGACTCATGATGGTGCGGCGAGTGGGAGTGGGGAAGGCAGCGCAGAGAGTCCAGAGGCAGTGTCGGAGGCGTGACAGCATCCTCATGCGGGACCCTCTCGGGCTTATCAAGCCGTGGCAACCTACAAGACGCTGAAGGAGGCTCATGAAATGGACTGGATGACGATGTTGATGAGTGAGTCCAATGGGACCCATGGAGCCTGGAGTTGGGGAGGTGGGGCCTGTTGCTCCACCTCCCTGCAATTCTTGCTGCTGGCTGACAAGGTGCATGGGCAGCCCCACCCAGACCCTCCTGCATCCACCCCTCTTCTTAAACATCCTTTCAGTCTGCAACTTTGCTGTGCTGGGAGCTACCCTGCTGCTGCCCTCAGTCTGGCCGGGGTTGTGGCGGCGGTGGAGGGACGCCATCATGCCGCCCTTCCTCGTTTCGCACACGGTCGCCCTGCACATCTTCCTGTGAGATGGGTGGAGGCAGGGGAATAGAAATGTGTAGAGCATGCCCAGGAACTCTGGACCCCACAAGGCATCGCTCGTCCCGCCCAGCAAGGATGGCAGTGCAGGTACACACACTCAACGAGCGAGAGCTTGCTGGGCAGAGGCACCCTCTCCCGACTCATTGACCAGTGTGCAGCGTGGGGCGGCGTGAAAAGGGTTGCATGCGTGGGTTGGTGGGCATACAGCGATGAGGCTGCAGCGCCGGAGGCCATGTACTCTGGGGCAAATCATCCTGCCCTCAGCGCACTGGCCGCAGCATCCTGCATGGAGGACTCACCTGCGCGCATCTAAATCAGTGATGGACCCAGCCTCCCATACACTCCCTACCCTTCCCTCCCCCTGGCAGGGGCACCAATGCCTTGGTGTCGCAGGCACTGGTGTTTCAGAGGAGCCTCACCAGCAGGTTCATCCCGGCTCAGGCCATCGGTGGGTGCTCTCTGGGCCACGCCCGGGAGAGGTTTCATCGCTGCGCATTAGAGGGTCTGCATCCGTCCACTGGCACCCAAACCTTGGACGCGGGACCATCTTACCATTGCCCAGGGGTGCACACCTGGGCGCTTGTTGCAGGGGTCCACTTCCCAACCATTTCCCTTGATGGCTCGCAGGGTACATGGTGTTGGCCTCGTACAACTGGCACCAGGGCCATGTGGAGGTGGGCGGCCTCCTGACCTCAAGGGAACATCGGTCTCATGATTGCATCTCCTGCCTCTGCATGTTCCCACACAGAGCGCACAGACCCTCCTAGTTCACTCAATCCATGCCCTCTCCACGCAATGTGCCCCCATGTCACAGACGCTGGCGCTCTACACGCTGCACACTGTGCTGGGTTTGATCTTACCCTGCATCATCGTCTGGCAAGCAGAGTACAAGGCTCGGTACTCCTTCCTGCGAGAGGTGTGTAGTCTTGAAGGCTATGGGGGCGGAGTCACCACCCAGCAAGGATGGCAGCCACGGGCTTTGTCACCAGAATGTGCTCTGGCGGTGTTGACCAGCTGTGCCTCACCCTGGCATGTATATCACGCACTGGCCCTCCGAATTTGGCAAAGACCTATGAGGCATGTCTGCACCCCCCCCACACACCCCCACCCCACCCTCGTGTTGACCTCTGCATCCCGCTGCTCTCATTCAGTGCTCCCATTCAACCTTTGCCTTCCGCGACCACCTTCACAGGCTGCCAAAGCGCGGCCGATTAGACTGCCACCCCTCACACTCATGGCACGGTTGAGCTGCCTGTGGCTGCTCCCTGTCTTCATGCTCGAGGGCCTCACAGGACCCGCCCTCCGAATTTGGCAAAGACCTATGAGGCATGTCTGCACCCCCCCCACACACCCCCACCCCACCCTCGTGTTGACCTCTGCATCCCGCTGCTCTCATTCAGTGCTCCCATTCAACCTTTGCCTTCCGCGATCACCTTCACAGGCTGCCAAAGCGCGGCCGATCAGTCTGCCACCCCTCACACTCCTGGCACGGTTGAGCTGCCTGTGGCTGCTCCCTGTCTTCCTGCTCGAGAGCCTCACAGGACCCATGTTCATCTGTCGTTCCATGCTGAAGACGGGGTACTCATGGTGGGCCATCTATTCGCTCATGCTGGCCTGGTCTGGAGCAGTCGTCTTGTATAACTCCTACTTCTACATCCTGGCCTGAGCACCACTTGGGAGGGCTCGCCGGTGATCGCTACACGGCTCGCTCTTGCTCCCTTTCTCCTTTCGTCAACCTTACAGGCTCGTCATACGAACACACACACCCGGCTGCGTACGCTTGCTTCCCCGTGGGTACAGAAGATCCGATGGGCTGGTTTCAAGTGTACACAATAATTTGGATTCAGGATATGGACCCCTCCAGCACCAACGCTGCCCATCTAGACCAATCCATGCTGGGCCGCTGCTGGCTCGGCCCTGCACCTCATCCCTGGAGGACGCAGTTTGCGCAGTGCACTACCGGCCGCATGGCATCGCCTTTTGCCTCGAACTGCAGCACAGTGAGCGTGCCGGGCTGTCGCGCCCAGCGCACAGCTTCCGGCCGGGTCCCCAGGCAGGCATGCAGCAGCGCTTCCACCCCACCGGCGTCCAGGCACACCAGGGTAGGCCCGTCGTCAGTTGCCGCCAAAGACAGGATGCTGCCGGGAAGGTCGGCAGCGTCCTCCGACGCTTGCGGCGTCTGCCAGCTGGGCCCCTCCAGGCCGAGGGCCTGCGCCACGGCTGCCGCCGTCCTTTCTTGCTCGTCCGCGTCTGCGGCCCTGGCCAGGAGCACGAGCAGTCCAGAGGTGGTGGTGCTGATGCCTGCCAGGATGTTGTGGATGGGACCCTGGGCGAATGGAGAGGGGGAAGATGTATACAAAGGAGGTGCCGGGGTGAGGCTTGCGCCGCTGGAGCGAGGATGACATGGAGGAGGGCCTGGGGTCTAGCCTGCAGCCGAGCACAGACATTGTCCCAGGCCAGGGGCCCTTGTGCCACCCCTCATCTGACCGCCCACCTGGTTGAGGCAGACCACGGTGACGCTGTGGATGCCAGGCTGCTGGCCAAGTCCAATGTCCAGACAGGTGTATGCCGAGTTGGCCTTCAGGGTGGGAGTGGGGAGTGGGATGTCCAGGTGCCGATGCACCGTCGTGGGAGGCCAGGACTGGAATGCGAGGCGCGAGCAAGCACCAGGCACGAGCGAGCAAGGCTTATTGCATGCTGTTCATAGGGCCAGCACCTGTCCATCTCATGCAGGCCAGGGAAGGTTGCACACCTCCGTACAAGCCCCACCCCCCGGAGGACCAGTAAGCTTCGTCCTTCCCGCCTCCGCCCCGCCTCTGGCCCCCCACCTGGGGCAGGCTCCGGAATGCATCCTCCTCAAGCCCCAGCGCCGTGCTGATGAGTGCCTTGTTCATCCCCTGGTGCGCCACGAGGAGGACGGAGGGGGCGCCCTGCGCCGGACCCAGAGATCCCCGCAGCGCGCCGCCGGGGTCCAGCAGCGCCCGCCAGACGGACCGCGCGCGGCGCCAGAGGTCGCACACCGGCCGGCGCCCGTCCAGCTGGAAGGCCGCGGGCCGGTCCTTCCAGGCGGCGTAGGCCCCCGGGTCACGGGCAGCCGCCTCGGTCTTGAGCGCGCCCTCCCAGCTGTGCAGGTCCAGCTCGCGCAGGTCGTGCAAAGCATGCTTCGGGCCGGCGCGCTCGCCCCAGACGATGGCGGCCGTGTCGGCCGCGCGGCGCAGGGGGCTGTGCACCATGGCATGGAAGTGGGTGTCCCGCAGCTACGCAGAGATGATGCAGGGGAAGGGGGAAGGTTGGGGGAGCGTTGCCCTTGCCTGGCCTGCCACGTGGTGACGCTGGGGACCGGCACATCGTGATCGGGGACCGGCACATCGTGCCAGACGCCTGCGCAGCGAACTCGAACGGCATGGCAGGGCGTGGCGGGCTAAAGACTGGACAGCGGGTGCAGAATGTGCTTTCAGAGCATCAGGCAATCCGGAAGCACAAGGCATTCCGGAGCCACTGCCACCCACCCACCCACCCTGGCAGCTGCATCCTTGGCCTGCTCGATGCCCTTTGGCGTCAGGCACGCTGCATCCGTGCTCCCCTGCAGCCTTCCCTGCGCGTTCCAGGTGCTCTGGCCATGCCGCAGCAGGGTGAAACGCAGGGTGGCGGTGGGTGTCGGGGTCGCCCTGGAGGCCTCCATGATGGGGCGAGTCTCGGCCCTGACACCCTGGAGAGAGATTTTCCTCGTCAGTCTCTTCGAGCCAACTCCGATCTAATTTGTCAGCAGCGCGATGCCACTGCGTGTCGTCCGGATCACCCACACGTCGTTGCGCGCAGACAACACCGGCATGGCCCACCCTCCCGGAATCAGTTACTGATCCAATCCGATTACCAGGTGACAATCTTTTCGCAAACTAGCTAGGGGATTGAGCGGCGCCATGCCGTGCTTTGGGGGCAACAAAATTGTAGTGGGCTGCGGGGTGCGGTGGGGCACATGATTCAGCACCGAGCAGGTGCGGCTGGCAGCGCACCGGCTCCATGCAGTCCACCTGCCTGGGCACCCGGATCACATGGGGAGCCTGGCATACATGGCCTCCAGGGCCGGGGCATAGGCTTCCCTCAGCTGCGGCCGCTTCAGCTTGAAGGTGGGGGTCATGGTCCCAGTCTCCACGGAGAAGGGCACGGGAGTGAGCACGATGTCGGCCACCTGCTCGAAGCCCTTGAGCTTCGCCACCCGCGCCTCCTCGGACAGCGACTTCTGGATCATGGCCTTCACCTGCTCGTCCTCGCACAGCTGCACGTGGTTTGGGGATGGGTGATTTGGAGTGTTGCACGAGAGATGGGGCGCGGGGGCGGGGGGGGGCTGGTGATCCTTCTGGATGAGAAGGGACGCAGGGAGTGGCATGCAGCACACTGGATTGAAGCCAGACGACGGGGAGGGATGGAGCGTGCTGTGGCAATCGCAAGCTTGCTCGCTCCCTTGCTCCCTGCATCCGGTGCCCGGCCCTCGCCTCAACCCCTTTCCCCTTCACTCTTCACCCACACTCAACCACACACACACACCGTGGCGAGGTCCTGGGGCAGTCCGCGCTGCTTGGCCCAGGGCAGGAGCACCTCTGGGTCCGGCACCACCACGCCCACGATGCAGGAGCGCAGGCTGTCGCCGTGAACGAATACCTGGGCGACGTAGGGGGAGCGTACGTAGATGTTCTCGATCTTCTCCGGCGCCACGTACTCCCCCTGGGACAGCTTGAAGATGTTCTTCTTGCGGTCGATGATCTTCAGGCGCTCGCCGGGGAGCCAGGTGCCGATGTCGCCGGTGTGCAGCCACCCCTCCTCGTCGATCGTCTCCCGAGTGTTCTCCGGGTCCTTGTAGTACTCCTTGAAGCGCAGTGGGCCGCGCACGCAGATCTCGCCGCGCGGGCGCGGCAGGTCTGCGTTGGTGTAGCCCATCTCGGGGACGTCGGCCAGCTTGACCTCGCAGGCGGGGGTGGGGATGCCCACGTGCCCGATCACAGGGTCGCCGGGGATGGAGATGGTGGCCCCCGACGTCGTCTCTGCGCATGAACGGGGGTGTACACAGGGGAATCATGATGGGGTGGGTGTGTCTGTGAAGGTCTTGAATCCCAGGAATTGCCAGGGCAAACAGGAGGGGGGGGGAGGTTCTGCGCAAAGCTGTAGGACCCAGCGCCCCGCGCGTCCATCCCTGGCCATGGAATCACCCCGCCATCTCAGCCTGGCCCCCCCAAGCCAGCGACACCGCGTACCTGTCATGCCGTAGCCCTCGATGACCACGCAGTCAAAGACGATGCGCATGAACTCGAAGACCTCTGGGGAGAGGGCGGAGGCGCCGCTCACCATCATCCTCACCTCGCCTGCGGGGCGGGAGGGGGAGCGTGTGAGGGCGGGCCAGCACATGCAGATGCAGCCCTGTTTGCATCCGAGGCCCAGCCACGGGGCTGGCCGGGCAACAGAGGCCCCGATTCCCACTGGTCCTGGGATTTTCACGCAGTGCTTCCATACTGAATGGCTGTTCGCACCCGCCCCTTTTGAGCCCCACCACACACCAAAGCTCGAACCCTCTCACCTCCCACCGCCTGCTTGATCTTGTTGAAGACCAGGCGGTTCCAGAACCCCGCCCAGGGCCCCCCGGTCATGTCCCCCGCCGCCATGTGCCGCTTTTTGTAGGCGTATGCGGTCTCGAACAGCCTGCGCTTCACCGGGCTGCTGGCCGCCACCTGGGCCATGATCCGGTCGTAGATGCGGTTCCACAGCCGCGGGACGGAGGGGAAGTAGGTGGGGCGCAGGGCCTGGATGTCCTCCAGCAGCGTCAGCACGTCGCCGCGGAAGAAGCCGATGGCGCCGCCGCGGTGGGTGACGCTCATGTAGGTCACGCGCTCGAAGATGTGGGCCAGGGGCAGGTAGGAGATGTGGCGCTCCGTGGCGTCGATGGTGGCGAGGACGGCGGTGGACCTGATCTGCCCCGCGATGCTGGCCACGATGTTGGCGTGCGTGAGCACCACACCCTTGGGCATGCCCGTGGTGCCGCTGGTGTAGTTGATCAGCGCGGTGTCAGCCGGGCTGGGCGGCACGTGCGGTGAGGGGTGCTTCATGCCCAGCGCGCGCAGCCGGTCCAGCGACACCAGGCGCGCGGCGGAGCCGGGGGGCGTGGCGGGCATGCGGAAGCCGGCGGGCGCGGCGTACACCACTACCACGGCGACGGTGGGGGAGGCCGGCAGCGTCTCCAGCAGCGCGGGCAAGGTGGCCGCGGAGCAGGCCACCGCCGCCAGCTCGGCGTGGTTGTTGACGAACTGGACCACGTCGGCTCCCAGGGTGTCGTACAGCGGCACGCTGACGCAGGCGTAGGCGTGCAGCGCGGCGTCCACCAGCACCCAGTCCGCGCAGTTGGTGCTGAAGAGGCCCACATTGGAGCCGGGGCGGACGCCCAGGTGCGCCAGCCCAGACCCGATCTGGGTGCGGGCCTCGCCCACCTGGCTGTACGACAGCCAGGCGTAGGGGCCGGGGGCGCCCCGCGCGTCCACGCTGCGGGTGCCCAGGTACGGGCTCTGTGTGTGGCGAGGGGGAAGGGGGGAGTATGAGAGGGGAGCGGGGTGGGAAGCGGCGAGGGTTTGCGCCAGGCAGGCACACGGAGTGCAGGCATGGGCGCGCATCAAACCCAGCGCACAGCTGGTCGCGTGTATCGAGAGTGCAATCACATCACTCCAAAGGCAGGCTGGCCTGGGATGCCACAGAGGATCCCACGCACATCTGGGTACTTGACCACGCTGTGCTCCAGCAGGTCGTAGCAGGTCCTCACGTGGCTCTCCTCGCCATCGAAGGAGTCGATCAGGGCTTCGGGAAAGTTCGCATTCCTGGAAGGGAGGAGGGAAAGTGGGGTACCTCGATCCCTGGGACCCTGCAGCTTCACAGCACAGGCGCGCAGGAGGCCCGCTGCCGCTGTGTCGGGAGGGCACGGCAACCAACCCAGGGCTCACCTGCGGACCGTCCAGGGGCCGGGTGCGTTGAGCTTCTCAGGAAGTACCACGCACTGCGCATCCAGGGGAGGGAAGGTAGACATGTCCAGGGCGAGGGTGGGAGACGTGGTCAGGGTTGCCTGCTCACTGGTCGCCTCGTGCCCGGGGGGCAGGTGCCCAGCCAGGACCCTGATACGATTGTTGGAATGCTGCATTGGAAAAGTCTCTTCACAAGTATATTTAAACAGTGCACGAAGTCGATGGAGGAGGTCTTTCTAAATGGTGTTTCATAAACTGCACCGGGGATGCTGACGGGGTTTCGGAGATTACTTCTCGCGCGCGGGGCTGCGCACGCATCTTCAGCACGACCATGGCATGTCTAAACTTCGATGTGCAGACCTGGCCACCTCCTGTATGTTGTCACGAGGCTATGCATGCCCTCAGACCGGTTCTTGCAATGAGAAGGATGAAGTATACAATGGCAACCCAGCCTGAGATCAACCATTGCAGAAAGGGCGGCACGTCAACCAGGCATGAAGGGAAGTAGTAGATAGCCGTTCAAGGTCCAGGCCTTTCAGACAGCCTCCGGCCTTTGGGTCATCGGAGTGGTAGTCTCAAGACACTCTCAGGCAGGCGCGCGGGCATACATGTCTGCAATGGCGCCGGAGAAGGCGGCCCTGAGCTGGGGCCGCTTGGGTTTGAAGGTCGGGGTCATCGTCCCGGCCTCCACCGAGAAGGGGTTTGGCGTCAGGGTGATGTCCACCACCTGCTCGAATCCGTTTAGTTTGGCGGCGCGACCCTCCTCCAGCATGCTCTGCAGGATCAGGGCCTTCACCCGCTCCTCCTTACACAACTGCAGGTCATGGTGGGAAGCTGGCCAGAGGGGTGACACACCTGCAGCTGCCCCACTCCTCCTGACGTCACCAGGCACTCGCAACCACACGCAGCACAGTGGGGCTCCAGACATGCGCCAGGACGCCCGGCAGTCGTGCCCAGTGAGTGAAAGCCATTCATCAGCATTCCCCACCCCGGACGGCCAGCCACCCACCTGGCCCAGGTCTGGCTCGAGCCCATTGCTCTCGGCCCAGGGCAGGAGGGCCTCCTGGTCGGGCACCACCACGCCCACGATGCGCGAGCGCAGGGCGTCGCCGTGGACGAAGACCTGGGCGACGTAGGGGGAGTGGGTGTACAGGCCCTCGATCTTCTCCGGCGCCACGTACTCTCCCTGGGACAGCTTGAAGATGTTCTTCTTGCGGTCGATGACCTTCAGGCGCTCGCCGGGGAGCCAGGTGCCGATGTCGCCGGTGTGCAGCCACCCCTGCGCGTCGATCGTCTCCCGCGTGGTCTCCGGGTCCTTGTAGTACTCCTTGAACACGATGTTGCCGCGCACGCAGATCTCGCCGCGGGGATCAGGCAGGTCCGCGCTGGTGTAGCCCAGCTCGGGCACGTCGGCCAGCCGAATCTCGCAGGATGGCAGGGGGGGACCCACGTGTCCCACCACCGGGTCGCCGGGGGTGGTGACCGTGGCGGCGGCCGTGGTCTCTGCCAGGAGTTAGCAAGGATGTGAGGGAGAGGGCGGGGTGGTGGGGATGAGAGGGAGGGGTACAGTGTGATTCACCTCATCTTCAGGTGGGGAAAGCACCATGCGATGCCTGGCCCGGAGAGCATGGAGTCGCTCAAAACCTTGCCAGAGGAAGAGCCCTCCCAAAACACAAGGGTCTCCCCTCCACCACCTGTCACCTTCCAGCCCATCTAAAAACCCTGACCTGTGGTGCCGTAGCCCTCGACCACCACGCAGTCGAACACGACGCGCAGGAACTCGAAGACATCTTGGGAGAGCGCGGCGGCCCCGCTGATCATGACCTTGACCTCGCCTGGAGGGGGTTGAGGAGGTGCAGAGTGCATTGGATGGCAGCTCTGTGGGAAGGCTTCCGCAAGGCTGGGGGCGGTCTCCATGAGGAACCCAGGACTGCCGCTGCAGCATTGATCAAATTTGGGGGGGGCATTGAATGCTCCCCCCCAGACTCCTAACCCCAGCAGTCCCAACCACAGCCACCTCCTCCCACCTCCGACCACGGCCTTGATCTTGTTGAAGACCAGGCGATTCAAGAAGGGCGCCCACCGCCCGCCGGTCATGTCCCCCTCCGCCATGCGCCGCCGCTTGTACCCGTAGGCCGCCCAGAAGATGGCCCTCTTGACCGCGCTGCTGGCCGCCACCTGGGCCATGATCCGGTCGTAGATGCGGTTCCACAGGCGCGGGACGGAGGGGAAGTAGGTGGGGCGCAGGGCCTGGATGTCGTCCAGCAGCGTCAGCACGTCGCCGCGGAAGAAGCCCAGGCCCCCGCCCAGGTAGGTGCACATCGCGTAGGTCATGCGCTCATAGATGTGCGCCAGGGGGAGGTAGGACACGTGGCGCTCCATGGCCTGGCCTGGCAGGTGGGGGGAGAGGGGGAGGGGGTGATGTGCGAGTTGCCTGGGGGAAGCAGGGGGGGGACTACGCGAGGCCGGGGATGGTGAAGCCATGCTGCACAATCCCCACGGGAGGGGCTTGGGGAGCAAGCACCCCCCGACAAGGAAACGAGCATACAGACCCGGAGCAATGCGGTTCAGTCCACCTTGTTCCCCTTCCCCATCTTCCACTCGCCCCCGATTCTCCAACAACACCCGCCCAAAACAGCAAAGCCACGCACTGGCGACGAGGAGAGGAAGGGCGGCGCAGACGCTGGCCGCCACCTGGCTGATCATGTTGGCGTGGGTGATGACCACGCCCTTGGGCCGCCCCGTGGTGCCGCTGGTGTAGCTGATGAGCGCGGTGTCGGCCGGGGCCGGGGGCTCGGGGGGCCTCGGGTGGGCGCGCCCCGCCCCCCGCACCTCCTCCAGCGAGACGACGCGGGCGTGTGACCCCGGGGGGGGTGCCGGCGGCGAGAAGCCGGGCGGCTGGGCGTAGACCACCACCAGTCGGACGGTGGGGGAGGCCGGCAGCGTCTCCAGAAGTGCGGGGAGGACGGCGGCGGAGCAGGCCACCGCCGCCAGCTCGGCGTGGCCCAGGATGTAGGCCACCACGTCCGCGCCCAGGGTGTCGTACAGCGGCACGCCGACGCACGCGTGCGCATGCAGCGCGGCGTCGACCAGCACCCACTCCGCGCAGTTGGCGCTGTAGAGGCCCACCGCCGCGCCGCGGGTCACGCCCAGGTGGCGCAGCCCCGCCCCGATCTCCAGCCGCGCCTGGCCCACGCCGGCGTAGGTCTGCCAGGTGTAGGCGCCGGGGGTGCCCTGCGCGTCCACGCTCCGGGTGCCCAAGTAGTCCCTCTGCGGGGCGGGAGGGGGGTGTGAGAGCGGGAAGGGGTGGGATCGGACGGAGCCGGTGGTCGGAGCGCACACACATCCCCACAAGCGCAGCTGCGAGGGGCAGCCGGTGGTGCAGGGAAGCACCGAGGCAAGCAGTGGACCCCCTGCACGCAGCAGTGATCGCAGCACGTGACCTTAATCAAGAGTCTCAGGCCCCTCCACGACGGCCCCCCTCCTAAGCATGCCCGCACCTGGCCATACTTGGCGATACTCAGCTCCAGGAGCTCATACGCCGTCTTGACGTGGCCGTCTGGGTCGGGAAGGGAATCTACCAGCGTATCAGGGTGCCGGGCATTCCTGCATGATGGGTGGTCGCGGGGGGAGGGGGCCGATTACGGGAGGAGGTTCCGGTGATTTAGGGTTTTGGCAACCTACCAATTACCCAATCATGCTCATGATCACCTGCGCACGGCGCCCGTACCGGGCGAGTCTGATTCCTGTGTCAGGACGATGCACTGCTGGTCCAGTGGTGGGTACAGAGACAGGTCCAGCTGGGCTGGGTTGAACTTTGTGTGCCGGGGGGTGGGGGCGACATGGGGCTCCGTGTCACCCATTCTGCCAGGAATTCACAGCGATCTGGATGATGTTTTTGTGGCTTCTAATGTAATACCCAGTGATTGAACGAAGCGAGACGCGCACGAGTGTCGCATCAATCAGCCATGACGGTCCGTCAAGAACTGCACTTTTATGATTTCGTGGATTTGTGATAGCTGCTCTGACAGAAGCGCTCCATGGCTGGGGAGGAAAGGATGGACCAAGCCAGCCAAGCCTTTGCGCTGTCTCGGTCATTCGACGTGGAGGTCGCACGAGATTAATAAGCACTTCTGAGACCAGCTCTGAGTCGCCAGTCTTACCCCCTGACCGTGCATCACTGATTGACACAGAGCGCCTGCGCCGCACCTGGACGATCCCCCCTGGGAGCAGGATGCCGGGCTTCAAGCTGCCCGCCATCGACCAGAATGACGAGGACTGGGGCCCCACCACCGTGCCGGAGGCATTCCGCGATGTCCCATTCATGCCATACAGCAAGGGCGACCGCCTGGGCCGCATCGCCGACTTCAGCCAGCAGGCCAGCCAGCGTGGATACCAGGGTGCGACTTTGCCCGGACAGGGGAGGAAGATGGGGGGCGCTTACCTGTGGGTTGAAGCCATGCATTTGGCTCACACTCTTACCCCTCCATGCCTGGCCCAGGGCGGTACCGTGACCGCGAAATTCTGCCGGGCATGGCGGTCTTCAACTTCGAGAAGGGCGAGGAGGTGGGGGCGCTGGATTTGGGGAAGTATGTGATCGAGTCATTCTATAGTGTAGCATGGGCAACATGGATCGTATATGCAGCGGGCCATGGGCTCTCTGGATCCATCGCCTGGTTCCAGAAAAGAAACATAGCGGCTTCACATGGGAACAGCAGCGCTTGCTCAGCAGTCACAGCATCTCCCCTCCCTCACCCCCTCTGCGTGCCCCTCCAATCCCTGCCACACAGGACGAGGCCTTCGAGCTGGTGGACACGCGTGTGGTGCGCAAGCCCCCCGGCGGCCAGCGCGGCCGCGGCGGCCGCGGCGGCTGGGGCCAGGGCCGCGGCGACGGCGGCCGCCCCACGGACAGCGCGGGGCGCGGCGCGTTGG